GGACTCTAACCTGGGAGAACTGGGTTTGATTCCCCACTCCTCCACTCGCAGCTGCTGGATGACCTTGGGCATGCCACAGTTCTGTCAGAGCTGTTCTCTCAAGGGCAGTTTTTCTCAGAGCTCTCTCAGCCCCACCTACCTCCCAGGGTGTCTGTTGTGGGGAGGGGAAGGGAAAGGAGTTTGTAAACTGCTCTGAGACTCCGAGTGAAGGGCGGGGTATAGACCCAATCTCTTCTTCTTTCTGTTAGCTAGCTTCTTTCCCCCTCCAACCAAACCACAAGTTTAGCGATATAGTGAAGGAAAAGATATTGGCAGGGAACAAGATGTAATCCGGCTTATCTGTGCTCCTCAAGTTTATCTGCAATCCTCAGCACGGCGGTGGAGCATCACAGGTGATCTTGGACCAAACAGTGTTGCTCAAGCCGGCTAACATCTCTGGGATGTCTGTCCAGATAAAACTGAGATCGTGAGGCCTTGCGTCTCTCTTCCGGCTCCTGGGATAGGGGAGGAAAGACGTTCCAATGAATCATTACCCAGGCCTGTCGTCCACGCATGGTAATCCCGCCCGTTCGCCAAGCAGCTCTGGGGAGTTAAACCCGTAAAGCAGGTTAGGCTGAGGGAGAGGGTGATTCACCCAAGTTCTCCCCAGCTTCATTTAGGGCTGCCAACCTCCAGGTACCACCTGGAGATCTCCTGGAGCTACAGCTGATCTCCAAATGACAGATGAGGGAAGGTGCTCCAACCCCCTAAACATCTTGGTCGCCCTCCTCTGCACTTTTTCCAGCTCTGCAATGTCCTTTTGGAGATACGGTGACCCCAACTGCACACAGTATTCCAAATGAGGCTGCACCATAGGTCTATACAGGCACATTACAATATTGGCCAGGGGTCATTTCCTGCAGGAGCGCACAGGAGCGGAGCTCCGGCAGTAAAGATCCCAGGGGGCGGGCACATGCAACAAGCCCCACCCCCTGCTCCCAGCAGCCCTCAGTCAGAGCAAGAAGCAGCCAGGTGAGTTGCAGAGACCCACCCCAGCCCCCCAGCCCAAAACAGTCCAGTGGCACCTTTAAGACCAAGTTTTATTCAGGTACAAGCTCTCCCTCCTCTGCGAGGACAGATTTGCGCGTCCCCCCCCCCAATAGCTAGCAATCCAAAACAGTCCAGTGGAGCCTGAGCGGTGGGTGTTGCCTTCTCACACCCTCCCGGTGATGTCAGGGGGTGTGGCATATGCAAATAAGTTATGCTAATGAGCGATGCTAATGAGCTCCTGCACCTCTTTTTCTATGAAATGACCCCTGATACAGAGTATCCAGTATGTGAGTGGTGTAGTTGTTAGAGTGTTGGTCTAAGATTGGGGAGACCTGAATTCAAATCCGCACTTAGCCACAAAGCACACTATGTGACCTTGAACCAGTCCCACACTCAGCCTTAAGTTGTGAGGAAAAGAGTGGTGGGGTGGGGAGTATTTCCTTCCATGCACAAACAAGACATTTACTCAAAATGGTCTCAGCGAGGGAGTTCGTGCCATCTTTCCTCTCCTCTTACAGACTCCTCTTTCTTCGAGATTCAGAATATTACAAGTGAGAAAGAATTATAATTATAAACCACGTGATTTAAGTGTTTGATGGCATATGGTTTCTGGAAATATAATTTCATATTGAAATTATTTGATATAGATAAGTATGGGGCTGGACCGGGTTCAGCCCTGTTCCCCCTGCCAGGAAATTCGGAAGTCTAGGCCCCTGCCTCACAGGACTGTTGTGAGGATAAAATGGGAGAG